TCAAATGCATTTTAACTGGATAACATTTTCAATTAAAACTCATACTGTATCAATCATTAAATCAGCAATCTGATTTCTTTGTTTTCTAGGAGTTATCCTAAGTGTTACTGGTGCAAGTGTTATTATTATTTCATAAGTTGTATTGATACCTAAACATTATGCAAAGTGTAATATGGAAAATTGGTTTTGTTGAAATTATGCAACTAGATCTTTGAAAGTTTTAAAATATTGTAAATTCTGATATAAATGCTATTCAGTGGATGCTTTGCATTAATCAATGACAAAAAGGAAAAACAACAATACAGAAAAGAATCCCTTTATTTCTTTTTTAGAGAATGCCCTCTTTTATACTCCAGTTTCACGGAATGTCCCTCACATACTTTTAAAACGAAAGTTTTGCCCCTGCTCACTGGCCAACTTTCTGATCACTGAATAACTAACTCACTGATTGGATCGTTGACAGATAAACTAACTGAAGCACAAACTAACTCACGCTTTCTAACTGTAATTGACTCTGAAGTGTTTAATTAATTCTAACTCACCCAGTCTGGCGAATATTGTTCACTATTTCATGGATGTTCGAAATGTCACAAAGGTTTAAACTTTCAAGAAACCTCTAGGCATCACACAATTATTACATGTAAGTAACTCCCTCAAGTGAATACAACATATAAAATATTAGAAATTTAGTCTACAAAGATTCTTTGGATTGTGAAGTCCTTGGACAATCTTAATACACAAATAGGACACTACACTAAACCTCAAATCTCATAATTACAAAAATGTCAATATTTACAATTAAAAAAATGAGTACTACAGACATTACAGTCACTTTATTATTGATTTAAAATTCCGATTAGCAAGGCAAAATCTCTGTTACCTTATTTTACTGTGTCTAAACTATGAATTTTAAGCCAATTTGGTTGTTTTCTCTTCCAAGGCTTGTGGACGCAGATGGGATGACCTCTTGTCACTGTCGAAGATCGCTCTAGTCAGATGGTTTAGTGAACTCACTAGCAGCTCTACCCTTGGTGATCCTCTGGAAGTGGTTTTGAACAGAACCATGGGTTCTTCAGCAGGTTCGCTTTCTCCTAGTAAATTCTTCTCTGAAACTGTCCAGACAAGGTTCTTTGGCTCCTCAGCTAGTTTAATTATCACTAGCAGAATTTTCTTTGAAGTTAAACAATTGCCTGCCCTCCCATTGACGTCCTTCAAAAGATGATCACAGCAGGCAACTTTGGGTTTGTCCCATTTGTCTATCTGGATTCTGCTCTATTGCACTCTGAGTCAGATATCTTCATTACTCTGGGCACCAGTCTTTGCTGTCACTGGAAGCTTAAGCTCTGGTGGTGTGATTGTCAAATTGCACATGGAATTTCCTGGTTATAGACTGTAAAACTATTGGAAGGTAGTCTAACCTCGCATCCATGTCTCTGCATGAAGTCACTTCTCGCACCCACCCTTCCTTGATGTCAGAGAACTTTTCCCACAGTAACGGAAACTTCTAATTTTTTCTCTTCTTTGAACTTTATGTGTACTTGCTATTCACATGATTGATTTGCACCTCTTGTTTCATCTCTAGAGGCAATTGTCTACATTTCATCACCAAATCAGGCTGAACTAATGTCGATCAATATACTTCAAGGGTTCCTATCAACAAATCTGTTAACTCTTAGACTGGTTTCTTTAAATAATATACTTTTTTACTGTCAAAGGAGCAGGTGATTATCATTGTCAATATTTCTTCTTCTTCATTCATTATCCATAACTAATTCCTTATAGTTTCGCAACAGAAAATCCGAAATCAATGTACGCCTAACTCATGAATAAAGCTGAGGTCACTTACTTGAAAGAATTCCTTGCTCATCCATCAATAGCAAACACACTCACTGACTAACAACTAACTGACTCTATGATTAAATCATAGACTAACTCTTACTGTATAACTAAAACTCTTTAATTTGCTTAAGTACAATAACTTAGCAACAATATTCCATAAATAATATTTGCTTCATCCCAATATTTTGCCATCGCCTACCGTATGCAATAAATCTAACTGGCTTACCTGATGTCTTGTCATATAAGAAAATTCCTATAGCTTTCACATATTGAACACAAAAATATTTTCAGGAAGAAAAGGATCTCTAAAGCAACTATAAAAAAATCGCATATATGGTATGTTCCTAAGTCTTCAAAACTTACCATTAGATTACCAATAAGTCTAAATTTGTGATAAAAAGTCATGTTAACTGCTGGGGAGATGTAAAACATTTGTAGTTAACGTGATTTTTCTCATAGATTTACGCCTATTAACTACTAATGCTTCTCCAGCTTTCGGTGTTTGTATTAGAACGTTTTATGTATTAGTATTAGATTGCATATATAAATTGTGTTTCAAAAACCTTTCATCTTCCAGCCCAAAATGATGAGGCTTGGTTTTCAACAAAAGACCTCATGGGTAACGAATCGTTGTAGGCAAAAAATATATCTGAAATGCTATTTATACACCCCAATTTTTTGAATACGCAATGAACAAATTAAGAGGAATGTGGGGAAAAACTGAATATATGTTTGATCTATTGGATAGGTCCACTAGATAGCAAGAATTTCGCTCAAGATATTGTTACGTCTCCGTTCGTTAGTTAATTTTCCGTAAAAATTCTTTCTTGACCTGCGTTGTCGTAACACTGCCCCTTCCTTAGTATTGTTCGTCCTGAACAATAGCCACTTACATTAAACCAATAACAATTAACAATAACTTAATCAAATGTACAGAATTACAAACACAATATTACAATTCAACAAAGTCTCTTAATTTTACGGGACGTATCTTCTTCCGTACTGGTCTCCGTCTCGTTGGCTTCTGTTTCACGTGGGGTTCATCTGCTTCATCAGGAAATGTCCTATCGTCGGT